GTTGAATTTTGAAGCTCCAATTTCCAAAGACCAAATTCGTAATTTAAACGAGAATAAGAGATTAGAGACTAGAGAGTAGAGAGAGTAGAAGATAATATTTTTATGAATGAAAAGAATGAAAGATTGGGGGTATTTATAGTTTAAAAAAAGGATGAAAATGTAGTTTTTAGAAGATTGGGGTATTAAAAAAAGTTTGGGGGGGTAGGGAGGTGTAAAGGGGAGTTATGGGGTGAAAGAGTCGTTAGTGGGACCCAAAACCCATTGCCCAACGGCTCTCAACAGCTCCCAAAAATTATTAAAATTTAAAAAAAAAAAAAAAAAAAAAAAAAAACCGGACCGGACCGGAACTCGGACGAACCGGGACCGGAACCGGTACAAACCGGACCGGGACTAACCGGTAAATTCCGGTTTCCGTCCCGTTACCCCTACCGGACCCGCTACGTTCCGGACTAAACCGGAACTAACCGGAACCGAGACGGAACCGGTAACGGACCGGGACGGACCGGAACCGGAACCGGCACCTCCCGGTTCCGTTGCCAGGCTTAGTCACGTCATTAAAGGTTGTCCTACCTAATACTCCTCCATCCAATAGTAATTAATTGGGATAGAAATTAAGAAACAGTAAATGATATAAATAATTTTACCAAATCACCTATATTAAATATAAGTCATTTAAATATTAAAAAATGAACTAACATTTAAAAGTAAAGATAAAATAGACACAAAAAAAATAATTATTCCTAGGTTTTATATACTAAACCAGTATTGTTACACAGATATCACTTTCTGCAAAAGATAAAACTTCTGATGACTTGGTCTATATCTTTGTACTTGCCAAATTTTTCTCGTTAGAATTTATGAAATTCGTAGACTCTAATTTATGGGGATAATGGGAATTGGGACAGGAGTGGATACCAAGAAGCCACCAAGCTTGCAAATTTTGACCGCTACTTGCTCATCAACTTTATGTGATTAGTCCAGTAAATGAAATCCAACTAATTTTCTACAAGTACCATATTTTCCTTTTTTCCTAGTGTTTTAAATTAATTCAATCCACAATGATTTCTTTAGTATTTTGGCTTCTACATTCCCAGTACTGCAAATATCTTCGTATCTTGAGTGATTCATAGTGAATTCACAAAGAAATTTGTACTTCTGTAGGTATTTGGACATAATATAAATAGCTGATATTTTTTCAACGTGTTTGAAGTGAATGAGTATAATTGACTTGTTTGGTCAAATTTCTAGAATCAGTTGATTTCTTAAAAAGAAACAATAATCATTTAAAAGTGTTTTTTAAACAAAGTAATTTCAATAAGAAGATGTTTGTATTTTATTAATCAATTTAAAAATAACATTTGAGCAATAACTAGTGTTTGACCAAACTTTTATAACATGCGTGTACACGTTTATTCCAAAATACTTTATATAAATTTTATATTGCATATGACATATTTTATCTTCTTCAAATTTATTGATATTTACAAAAAAAATTCTATCATTTTTTCCAGACTATACATAAAAATTAAAGGCTGGAAGCCAAGTAAGCAGAACCAAGCTCACTGATGTAAATATTCAATGGTTTCTGAATTTTGAACTCTGACTGAGCAAATACAATGAAGTAAGCGGAACTCGAAAATTGTTCTCTATCCTATGCAAAAGTTATGTATTAAAGAACGAATGAAAGCATTAACAGACCACTTAAAATTTGTTTGTATTTTTGTAGATGAAGTTAGAGTATATATAGTTTTATCAATGGAAGCTCTTCAAACTCTTTAACATAAAAATAGAATTACTCCCTATGTCCCGACCAAACATCTCATGACACGAGCTGAAGACAACCATGGGTTGAGGGGTAGCAAGAAGATGCATTGGCTGATAACATATCCATCGCCTTTTCTCGATTACTTGTCCACTTTTGAATGGACACACATATTAAGAAAACAATGATTGACATAGTGAGTTTACCATTTTTACCCCTATTAATTATTACGTAAATGAATTAAAACTTTAAGATTTTTAATAAGTTCTACCTTTTGTAAATTTAATTACTTGAGGGTATAATAGGTAACAAAAATTGTCATGATTTGTCAAAATGGACAATTAAAAAGGAACAAGTAAAAAAGGAAAATTGGGCAAGTAATTAGGGACAGAGGAAATAGTATTTAAGTGAAGGACAAAATGGTAATCAGACTTTGAGTTTAGGAACTTTCCATTTTTAATAATAACTAGTTCTGGGCACGTGCCTTGCGCGTGTAACCCAATTTTATCGACCATAAAAATTTTTAAAAAAATACATAAATATTAGTATTAAGAAACATGTTTGAGTTATAAATTATATACTAAAGAAGAAGTGCGAATTGTTAAAGTGATATCTTAATCCTACTTCGCGAGCTCTCTAAAAGGAAGAAATACTTCACCAACGAAATCTTTAGTTTTCTTACTTTGATTTCTAATTTCGCCTTTAATTAGCAAAGTTATTGGACCTTGTTTCTTTTGGTATAATGTACAATCTCTTCTTGACCTATTGATTTGGCAAAAATATAATTTTGAAACGCCAACACTCAAGCACAAAGGAGTAGAGAAATAGAAACATATGTTTACATTACCTCCTAACCAACTAAAATACATTTGGTGTAATTATGTTTTTAGTGTAATGTGTATTTTTAATTAATTTTTTTTTGTGAATTTGACTAAGGCCTATAAAAGGAGAATAATAATGTGTAACTTTACCTAAGGCATATATATATATATATAATATTTAAGTGTGCATCAATTAAATATCTCTCCGTCCAACAATAGTTGTTTACTACACTATTTTGGGATGTCCGACTATACTTGTCCACTTTATGAAATCAATGGATAATTTTACACTTAGTTTCTAATTTACCCTAACTATTAATTATAGTCATTTTTCTATTACATTTTTCAACACATTGTATTTATTATATTCAAAGGGTGAAATAGTTAAATTACCCTTCTATTTATAGTTTCTTAAGAAGTTGCAAAAATCAATAGTGTACAAATATTGTTGGACAGGGAGAGTATATATATTACTATATAAGAAGAGGGAATAACCAAGCACCACAAGTCAACATGTGTTCCAATAAGAAGAGGGAATAACCAATATATTTATAAAAAGAAATGACATATAAAATAAAATGGAGAGAGTATTAGTTTTTGAAAATGGAAAAGGACAAAACACATATAAAATTAAAAGACATATAAAAAAAAGTTGGTTTAACTCTCAAACATAAAAAGTAACATATGTTATTAAAAACTTTAATAAAAAGTACTATAATTTACAATAAATAATAACTTAAAATATCTACAAGA